ATATTGTGTAGCAAAATATGGAAAAAAAAATAAATAAAAAAACCAGAACAAAACTCTTAGCTCATATTGGGCTTGCTATTGCTACTCTGTTCTCTCCAAAGTCTGTTCCAGTTTTCTTTTTAGCTCAAGTTTCATTTTTCAAATGATGAGACTTGTATCATTTCCACTTACATCCTACTATGCCTTTCAGACATTTGTCAAGGAGACTTTTACAGTGTTTTTCTTGAGTAAGAAAGTTTCTCCTGTTCTTAATTTTATCCTGCCTGAATATACCTCTTTGTCTTCCTTTAAACATTTTATTGTATCCTTTCTGGTTTTAGCTTTTAGATTATTGTGGTTTTTAGCTGTTGCATGACCATGATGGTCATTCTTAGCTCTTAGTCACTATCAAGATTATATTGCCCTAACATTAGATTCACCTTTCCCTGAAATGTCTCCAGTTCTTGTATTGTTTTCTATATATAAATTCACCAGAATATTTATAGCTGTGATGACACCATAGCATGAAGAACGGGATCAGCCTGATCCTCATGGAGTCTCTGGGTTGCTCAGACTTTTTTTGGCAGACCTTGAATGAATGTCTTTCATATTTGGCTGTCTATTACCATCTTATAATAGAATTTTGCAGCCACCTAGTCCATTTTCTGGGTTTCTGGTGGCTTTGGTCTTCTTTTTGTGGAGAGAAAAGTGCAGAGACTGAGCACTGCAACCTGAAATCCTGACACAGTTCCATTTTAGCAGGGTTGTCTTAAACCTTACAGTTTGGGGTGAGTATTGCTACCTTCATGATACATTTAATAGATAATTTTGTCTGAAGCTCTCTACCTTGTCTTTTGATTCTTCCTCTGTCTGCTTTGCAAAATACACTGAGAGAAAAGGTAAGGTATTACTTTTGTGCAAAGCTGGGCAGTGACTGCTATTCAGAGGGCATTGTACTAACACTAGGTAAATGTTGATAGGGCCTTAAAGTAGGATAAGACCTATGGATGCTAGTTCTTTCTTTAACCACTGCTGTGTCAGTAAGAAAGTCCTCTTATGGATTATCAAGACAGATTTTCCTGCTCCTTCCTTTCTCATTTTGCTATGGACAAGTAATGCTGTAGCCAAACACAGCACAAATGACACATGTCTAAGACGCCTTAAAGGAAGGAAGCCAGAGTCACTGGGCAGTAGGAATCATTTATTTCACTTGGAGAAAAGCAGTCTAACTAGTGGCCTAGGAACAGTTCCAACCTATGGATTACTCCTGGCCAGCCCACCACCTGCTTCCAAAGGAAGTGGTGTCCAGACAGCTCACAGCCTCGTCTCTGCTGTAGCAGTCAGGCTAGACCAGGCACAGGTATAGCTGGGGGTGCACACCAGGTGAGATGGGGGTGGCTGTGGGTGGGTGAGGGCTGGCAGGAGGATCCAGCCCGCATGACTGTGAAAGCTGGACAACACAGAGAAGGAGGACTGATAGGCAGAAATACTCAGTAGATGGCAGGATCAGGCCCATCCTGCCTAGGCAAGGGAATCTGAAATCATGTAAAATATCTTAGAGAGCTTAGAAACTGAAGAGAATTGGGTCAGCTCAGGTGGCTGGATTTTATGGGTAGTGTGTGTATCCAGAGGGTAAGGGAAGAGCTAGGTATGAATGACATTTTGTAAATGTTCTTTTCCTTTCTTTTCAACTTCTGAGAAACATCTGTTGGAGAGTTGGATATAGTCTTACACCAGGAGAAAGACTTCAATAAAATATCTCAAACAAAAAAAAAAAGGAAATTCATTGGAATTTCCTAAAATTCAGTGGAACCAGTCAAATTCACACTACTGATGGGAAGCTATCCACAAAAAGATAAGAGAGAATTGGATGAAGCACACGGGCTAGGATTCCTTTCACAATAACTCTTCAAAGCTCCATTTCCTGAAGTGTTCACAAGTAAAGGGAAAAGGTGCAGAAGAGCTGCCTGAAACATATTAGGTGAAAGGAATAAAAGGCAAGTCAAACTGAAGAGACTAATAAGCTATAGAGCTGAAACCAAAGCAGTAGAGGCAGGTACTAGAGTTACTGTATGTGACTTTCAGGCTAGATAATATAGCTGAAAACAGAGATCTCAGCTGTGGTACTGAGATGCAGGGAACATCTCAAGATTCAAAACCACATTTAATTTGTAGAGAGAAAGAATGAACTTACAAAATGTTCCAAATAAAAAAATAAAATGAGTGGCTGTGCCTACAGTGGTAAAGTTTAAAGAGTAGGACAGAGCATGAGGGAAGGTCCTGTGTTACAAGAAAACAGACAACCAGTAGATAAAGGCACAGGTAACAAAAGGGATACATCTGTTAATAATACTTAGTTGTTTTGCCATCAGAGAAACCCCACGGTTACTCTGTGACACAAGCGTGTATGAGTTAATGCTTATAACATCGCTGTGAGGAAAAGGGTGCTCTCATTTGTTAGATACAGCAAATGAAGCCATGGATACAGTTTTGTAGCTATGATTAGATCTCATGACCTTCTGCCTCTGTATCCTCTACTCTAGGCCATAGTTCCAGGACTAATTGCACAGTTTCTGTGCACAAAACACTGAATTTACATCATAAATAAACCCTGCGTTGTTCCAGCTGGGTCACACTGGCTCAGAGAATCTCAAGAAAGTTTGGCAACCAGAGCAAATCAAAAGGACTAGAAACTAAGTATCTTAATCACTTAGGAGACTGAACAAGAACAAATACTTATAGTTTGTAGGAAAAAAAAAATGTAGCTTGGTGACACTTTTTCCAGGAAGGACCTAGAACACAAAAGAACCAAAGCATTTGTTCTGCAGAGCTCAACTGGACCACAAGCAAAACAGAAAACCTGTATTTATGATAAAAAGGAGAACTCTGAGTTGCACAGATGTTTCTAATCATCTTTTCTCATTTGACAAGCTGAGGGTGACTTTACATTGAAAGAGAGAAATATAAATGTAATGAAATGAATTGCTGTTCAGAGAAAGATATGGAGGGAGTGACTGGGAATACAAAGATCGTGACTGGGAAGACAACTGTTCTGAGAATTTAAAACACCTAGAAGATCTACGCTCCCATTATTTCCCTTTCATTTATGTATGTGCTTGTGTATATACATATGCACCTATATATGCATGTGTCCCTATATTTCACATGAGAAATGTCATTTTTACCATTATTCTTTCACTAAAGATGAGACTGATGCAGAACACGTGCAGCCAAGAGGAAATGCTGAGCTCCCCTAACTGGATGTGTTTTGATTTGAAGCAGTGAGTCTGGGCCCTTCTTTAATGCTTAAATGTTAGACAGTTTTTCTTTCCAAGACTTGTGCTTACTAGTGCACAAATTATTCAGCTGACTCATTGTTTGATGTTTGTAGTAATCAAAAAAATGAGGGGAATTTCTGTGGAGCAATTTCTGTCCACAATGCATATAAATAGATGCATTCATGTGTGTTCCATGTAAGGATTACAGAGCTAAGGCCTCAGAAAAGCTTTTCCTCTGGAAGTGTAAGGATCAAAATTTGGCTGTAGGTTAGTAAGCAACTAGCTATGAGGCAAAACAGAAAACGTCAAATTCTAAAAGCATAAAGTAGAAATGATCTCTTTAGCATTCTTTCTATCTATCTATCTATCTATCTATCTATGTATCTTCAGCAGAGTAGCACAGGTCCATGATAAACA